TAAGCGGGCGTGAGTGTACGTGTATGCGCGTGTGTTTACGCAATGTATTTGTCTATACTTTTGTACAATACATTGTCATAAGATTGTAATTTGTAAAATTGTATTAGGCACATTAATTGATTTGACAATTGAAACGTGCACATTTATTTGATAATTTTTCGGTAGAAATTTACATGTTACAAATTTATTTCGAAGTATTTAAAAACATAAGAAAAACTATTCCTATTAAGAGCATAATACTTCACAGGGCATTCATTATCAAATGCTTTAACAGCAATGCATTTATTTCTTTAGAATTACAAGAAATAATGTAATCGTTGGTAGCAATAAAGTTGTCGGTACGTAAATGCATCCTTTTCAACGGTTAGGCCTTTTATAACAATAGATTCATGCATTTCATATAATCTGAATTTTTTCTTTTTCTTTTAAGAAAAGTACAATTAAACTTGAGGATCTCCATTTCTTGTCGCACTCAATACAATTTCCTCTCCTTGCGTATCCGTTGTTTTTCTAAAATGATTTTCTACATTCCTATTCAAAGAAAACAAAGAACATAATTAATAAAACAATTAGAAAATAGCGCTAATATATTTTATTATTATTTAGGTTAATAAAAATGTATATTCACCTTTTTCTATATTGAAAAATTATATATACAATGACAGCATTACCAACAAATAGCAATGCAATGAGGATCGTTGGCAAAATTACATCTGAAATTCAAAGTGACAAGAGGTTACTTGTATTATTACTTGAGTACTAATATATATAGAATAAAAAAAATTTTCATACGTATGCTTAAAATACATGTTACTCAACAGGCGAATAGATTTTACATTTTTATTCTAAAGATAATGGAAAAGCGATTAATTACATTGACATATGTTACGGGTAACAAATATCGATGGTGAAACGATAACGTTTATAACGTTTCAAACAATTTCCTATTTTTCTAGCTATTTCTTTCTTAACATCTTCACTTCAAAAAGTCCTGCGTGTCTTGTGTTATTTTTGTATTCATCGTGAGAAATTACGCCTTTTTTTTTATTTAATTACATAGTATTTTAATATTAAGCGTTGATTTATATATATATATATATATATATATATATATATATTTAAAATAGTTATATGATGCGATTAATGCGATGCTTAGTAATGAAAAGATGAGATATCTTTCATTTTTCTCTATAAGAATAAATATAAGGATAAATATAAATATACATTCGTATAAAATAAGCAATAGTTTAGTAAATGCGTACAAAATAGTTTTTCTATTGGTAATGAAAAATATAAGTTTTCATTATTGTAATAAGTTCTTAAATAAGAATAATTATTTGCCTTAAAAAGTTCTTCAATAATCTTAATGCATCGTAAACTTTTTAAAAAAATATGAACATAATTTTTCAAATTATTATTAAATCCATACAGTTTACTTGTCAGTAATAATCAAAAATTGATTATTCTAATTCAGCTTTTATTAATATTTCAAACGAACAATACTTATTAATAATGTATTTAAATACTTGTAATTAACTAATGATAAAAATTTATTTTGTAAATTTACTTTTTTGTTATTCAGCCTTTCGAATATACAAGTACAAGTCAAGTTTCTTAACCATGAGTTACATATTTTGAGTACATTTATACAAAATTTAAATGAATTATGTTAATATTTACAATTGGCTTTTACATTATTAAATGAAAGTTTTAGTTTAAATTTATATTCAATGACTGGCCGTAAATATAATAAATTGAAATGTAAATTATTAGTGACACATTTGATAATTACAAGAAAAATGTTAAATTACAGTTGTGCAAATATCATAAAAAAATGTATAAATTAAATGAAATTTATAAAATGCAAAATGAAGCAAACACCATTACGAGCTTTCACGGTCTTATGCAATAATGCTAAAACAATTTGTCAATATTTTTAACTAAAAATTATTTCAAATGGCATTATTATATCTCATTAGTAGTATTATCAAAAATAATTAATTTAAAATTTTATTTAATACGAATCATTGAATTACCGAAACAATTGATTTCTGTTAGACAATAAGTCTTATATAATCTATATTTCATTATTATACATAATATGCGAGGTTATAAAACTAAATATTAATCCGTGATAAATTAAAATGAAATTAAACTTGAATAGTATCGGCATTAATCCAACATTGTAAACAAGCAAATAAATCTAAAGAGGACTGACCAACGACATAATCCGTGTCCTTAATCACGGCCGGTTGTGCCTGCTCCATGATGCTGTAATTGATAATTTTTATTTTGTCTACGGGTCCTCGACCTCTCCTCGTCTCCTGGCCCAGGATACCCTCGTAGCTCCGGTTAATGCCACCGTCCAACGAACCGATGATTTTCTTCGTGCTGTCAGTCTCGTTATTCACGATCGAGTCCGACGAACCTGAGATAACAAACAATAAGGACGAGTATAATCAATATTGTTCGTCGATTCCACTTTTCTTACCTAATGAGAATTATTCAACATAAATATAATATTTATGCCCATATGTTTAATGCGTGAAATATACTTGAGTGTAAGATACGGGAAACGAGGGGAATGTAAAGGAAAATTCGTGCGGCTTTATCCAGCTGTAATGAATACGTGCTTATTATATGTGTAGACCGATGTTGATACAACCGAGAAGGACAGAATTTCTACTTAAAGGATACTAAATTATAGTATAACGCATACACGTTTAAAGAATTATTGTACTTTTTATTTTTGACACGAGAACTTCTTAAATATATAATGAATAAAATTCAACTAGATATTAATATTCGCAATATTATTATTATCGTTGTTGTTGTTGTTGTTGTTGTTGTTTTTGTTGTTGCTATTATTATTGTTGTTGTTGTTGTTGTTGTTGTTGTTGTTGTTGTTGTTGTTGTTGCTGTTGTTGTTAATGTGTTTAGTATGTTTAATATGTCAATGGATTTTTCGCTTAATATTTAACTTCATTGATTTCCCTTAAATATTGTTAATGTGAAATTAATATAGAATCATTTATTATTTAATCGTCGTGCAAGACTCGAGAAGCATTTAATCATTCGATAGTTATTAATGATTACAAATAAATAATAATGTTAATGCATCGTACAGAATCGCGTAAATTTAATGCTTACCACCTATCATCAATAGATATCAACTGTTTTGTACTTTGATTACATTTATTTGCATGAAACAAAAATTCAATATAAATTTTGTATTTATAAAAATAAATCAAATGCTGACGAAGACAAATATTACAGATGATAGAATTCAGATAATAAAGGAGAGATTGAATAAACGTATTGCAATGACATAATTGTCGCATAAGTCATAAGAAAAATAATTTCTAACAGTTGAATATTATTAATATTAATTAATATAAATTAATAATAATATTAATTCCCAGATGAACGACATTGACGTACATACAGAGTTATCGACTCCCACTTTATACAAAAACATTTGTAATGTTCGTTTGGCAATAGATTTACACATTTAAAACATATGCTCATTTTTAATTTAAATAGTATCGAAAGTGGAAAATACATGACCAATGCGATTATTACTGAGACTTGGGAATAAATGAGGTCATCGAGAAAACCGTCATTTTGTTATTTTTCCGGGATAAACCTTACGATCCTGAGAAATTGTTCAAAATAGTTCAAAATCAGAAGAGGTGATAAAAATCCATAAAAAAAAAAAATAGGTAAAAATAGGGGATATAATAATAGAAAGAATAATAAAGTGGATCTGCTGTTTTTCGAATTAAGTGGTAATTTTTGAAAATTGCTGCTCTTAATTAATGTGCGAGGTAGTTTCATCGAATCAATCTTCTTGAAGCTAAGCGAATAATTTTCCATATTACATGATTTTTTCTTAGATAAAAAATTTAATGTAAGATTCTTGGATATAATGGATTTTTTTTTATCTTCAGACGTGGAATGAATATAAGATACAATAAAGTAAGTTTATTGACATTAATTACGCCTGGAATATCATATATTTTTAATAGGTTACTTTACAAAATTGTAAATAAATAAAAGTTTTAAATTAAAAAAAAAAAAAAATTGATAAAATTTTTACACAGATAAATAAAAGGTTTATATGAACTTTTTATATGAAATTTGCAAATAAAATATTTATATTATATTTACTCTGCCGTTAGTTTATTAAACATCGGATCTTTTATTTTATGATTGTAGAATATCTTTGAGAATATCTCCGTTATAAATATATTTTCCAATTTAATTACAGGAGTGTTAGTATCAAATTTATAATAATAAAATCATGATCAAATCAACTGCTATTATTAATTAAGGATTTTACTTAAAAAATTAATGATGTTTCCACTGGTGATTCTACATCGCAAAGAGGCAGTCAAATTATTATGATAGAAATGAGTTCTCATCAAATTAGTCAGACTAGCAGAAATTTACTCAGCATGTCAGCACACAAACGAGGTGTATATAATTTTTATTATAAAATCATAATTCATACACATTGGAGGCCAATCACTCAAATGGAATCAATAGTAGAAACGCTTGTAATTGTAATATGAAATTGAAACTCACGGATGCGCAATACCTACACGAAGGATATTCAAAATGACATTAGAAAATAAAAAAAATTACCTAAACCAGTTTAGTATTTAGTAGTTGACATAGAATATACACAGCTAATACTGTTCTTATAAATATTAAAACGATCAAACTCGTAAATAGGACACGTTTAACTGTACAAGAGACGTATCATATGTATTATTTATAAAATACTATAAGATTGGAGATAATAAATTATAATGGTGCTGCTGTTATATGATAAGGAATAATAAAACATAATTTTATATCACGAAGAGTTTAAAATTAGTTAATATCATACAAATTCAATAAAGTACATTCGTTTAAATATTTGTAACAATATTTATAATATAATATTTAACGGTATAATAGATGAAAATTATGTTTTTTGCAAAAGTTTCTTTGCTCCTCATCGAGGCTTTGACACATTCGTTAAAATATTAAATTATTAGATTTGTATTGCACAAGAGGTTTGATTTCCTTTGAAATATTTTTTATGGCACTTTTTAACAAATCAAATTACGTATAATACATGCGAATTTGTTTAAAATACGGCACTTAATATTGAAATTAATGTTTTGATATTGTATTACTACAGTACCTCCAACAACACTCGATTAACTAATTTATTTATACAACTAATTTATATTGAAAGACCAATCAGTTGGAAATAGCTACTTTCAATGTGGGGTATGAAAGTTTTTGAAACTACATTATTGACAAACATATAATGCATAAAAAAATATTGAAAACTACATTAAAATCATTTTAAATCTTTAAATATTCTCTTAATATTAATATTAACATAATTTTACGAATGTGATGAATTAATTTTCTTTTCAGCATAAACTATATTATATATATATATATATATATATATATATATATATATATATATAATCTGTTTTATGTTAAATTTAAATTAGCATGAATGCGCGGCACATTCGAGAAATTTCATAATTAAACAATGTGCATTGTAATAAATTTTAAAATTTATATCAATTTTCAATTAAACGCTCACAAATAATCATTATCGAATAAATAAATATTCAAAGTAACATTATAAATCGTTAATAATGATACTTGATTATAATTGATTTTTATTTACATTTATTTACATAATTATACATACGAAAAGGGCGTTTAATAAAATTCTTTTCACCTCAAAAACACAAAATCTTCATCATGAAATACAACATTGTTTTGGACTTTCAGTATTAATACTAAATAATAATAATAATATAATTTATATCGATAATAGATAAATAAATATATATAATTGGTATTTAGGTAGTCTATGTTTAATGCTAAAATTACGAATTATTATTATAATTCAAATAGAGTAATCGCGAATGTTAAAGAAGAAGAAAAAATTACTTTTATATATGAATTTTAATATTTCATTTTATATAAATGTAGAATAAATCAAATACCTTTCTCAAAGAAATCTCTGTGATATATTATAGTTATAGGGCTTGAGTACACTATCTCTCGTGAAGTAGCTCACTTAACTAATATCAGCATGACGTAGAAAAAATAACTATGGTCCATTGAAAAATATCACATGACTAATAGGACTGTATTCAATTGAGAATAATTATCCATCATTTTAATAACGTGATGTCATTTATATGATTTTTATAACATCATTTTTTATTTATTATGTTAATAAATATTATGTGCCATGTTTTTTTTTTCTTCTTTAATTTATCTTTTCATTGTATTTCATTGTACGACATTAAAAGCAACTACAGCCGTAGAAAATAGTACCGATTAAAAAAAAAATTGCTACAAAATTATCTCATTGAATCTTATGATATTTAAATCAATTTTCTGTGAAAATAAATAAAGATTATATTAATTTATGTATAAATATCGCCGAACAAGTCTCAATATAAATAAGTTGAAGTAACAAATGTTAAGATATAATTGCTAAATAGTAATACAGTTTGCATTATTTAGTAAAAGTATCTTAAACCAAAAGATATTAAAAATATGGTAAATTTAATATGGTATTTTAATTTATGAAACACTATTAATCACTAATTAATAAAAAGAAAAAAAAAACTTTACAATGAAACAACAAACTTCATAAGTTTAAATCGTAATTGTCAAGGATATAAAATTAAAATATTTGATGAGTAGCAATACTTATCAATATTTATATTTTATATTCACTTTCTATATAAATATTGCTTGCAACGCAATACATGTAATAAACAAAAAAAAAAACAAAAAAAAAAAAAAAAATAAAAAAAATAATAGAAAGTGTGTGTTTATGTTCAAAGTAGCATTTTATATAATATAAGATATTAAAAATAGATATTATTTTATCAAACGTTCTTTAAATAAATTGTCAATAAATTTATCTTTAAAATAAAATAACAATATTAATGCTGATAATTTTTCTAAATTCGGAAAGGGACCATTTGGCAAACATATTTAATTAGTTGCTTAAAAAATCATTAATTTAAGAATCAATAGAATTAACTGACATATATCATATATTTATTTCATTTTACTAAAGATTAAAAAAAAAAAAAAACAAGTAGAGGATATATAAAACTAATTTTGGAAAAAATCTTTTGTTACATTAAATATATAACGTAAAAAACTTTCTTTATATAATTATAATTATATTGTTTATATGTATTTTACGATTTTTACTATTTTACTAAAATAACTCCAAACTACGATTTATCAAAAAAAATTTGATAGCATTATTATTAAAAAGTAATAAAAGCAAACTATCAGTAAATTACTGATCAAAATTATTAAGAATACAAGTATGGAGCACATTGATAAAACTAATAATTATTTCACATTTGCTATAAC